TCTTTTTGATATACCAGGTAGCTTCATTAATATAAAAGCACAGGAATCCACTTTAATTCCAACATATTCAGAGTTCTAACTTGACAGCCAATTAATGACAGACTTTACAAACCAGGAATGGTTCAACAAATAGCTTCAACCTTTATAACTCCTCTATATAGAGCCTTTCGCTTGTTTGAGGTCTAACCTTTTCCACTAGGAGTGGCCATAGAAGCCTGGACCAAATTCTCACACTAACGCTTGCAATATAAGTATCGTAAACAATATATGGCAGACTCATGAAACCCCAAACGGTTCATCAAATAGTTTCAAAATTTTAAACTCCTCTATATAAAGGCATTTGGCTTGTTCGAGGCATAGTATTTTTCACCAAGAATGGCCTTCAGATGCTTAGACCAAATTTTCACAGAAAAGTTTCAAATGTTAAAACTCCACTACATAGACATTTGGCTTGTTTGAGGCCTAGTCTTTTCCACCAAGAATGGCCTCCAGAAGCTTAGAGCAAATTCTCACAGAAAAGTTTCTCATATAAGATGTTTCTGACAACAGAGTTTGCTACTGTATTTAAGTGCCTTCTCTCCCCAGCCTTTGGTACCACTAACATAAATGTATCCATCCAAAATAGGCCCTTAACCCAACATAGTTTCATATTCAAATCTAATCCATGCAGTGCATTTGGCTTGTCTGGGACCTAATATTTTCCACTGAGAATGGTCTTACAAGCATAGACCAAATTCCTACACTAAAACTTGAGCCTTGTAACAACAGACTTGCTTTTGGTACAGTACTTACCTTCCTTCTTCGCTGGTGACTGTTTTTTCGTTGGAGTTGCTCGCGGCTTCTTAGCAGCAGGACCTACAAGACAGTAACAAAAATTGGAGCTTTCTCACGAAATACGATAAAATTTCAGGAACCTAGGAACGTAGAGTATGACGACCTTTTGTAGCTGGAGATCCTTTAGGACTTCTTGTAGTTGTAGGTCTCTGAAATATAAATCTTTTTGTCAAATGCCGAGTTTAATTTTTTGATATTAAGACAGCCAAACAGATAATGTTCATCAGAAGAGAGGGGATACAAGAACTAAAACTAGAGTTCACCTTCGTAGATCCAAATAAAAAACACCTTTTATCAAAAGAAAACTACAAATCTAAGAGGCTTTGCACTTTCACCTTTTTTTCTTCTGCTTTTTTAAACATGGTAGACAAATTAGCCTGAACAAGTGGTTGCTTCTTGATAGAAAGAGACTCTGCTGGAGAATGTTCAGGTTTAATGTCTTCACTTGGGATTTCCTCCTTAATGTCTTCACCTGGGATTTCTTCCTTAATTTCTTCAGTCTTCATCTGCCGCGAATGTAGAAAGCATAATAAGTACGGAAGTCCTCAACGAAAGAAAGATTTGTACTGTTACCTTCTCATCCAAGTCCTCAGCAAACTCAATCTCAGTGTCACTTTCAGCCGAATCTCCTCCAGCGAGCTCTGCGAACCTGTATAAAGTGCCAAAGAATTTGTCAAGTACTTTGGAGGAAAGAAAAACATAGATCACAGAATAGCTATAGAATGGGAGCAAACAAATCCTTCCAGGAGTCTATTTCCTGGCAACTAAGCAAACTAGAGCCGCCTAGCACATTTCAGTCACTTGCTAAAACCAACAACAAATGTTGGAAGAGACTTACTTGAAGGTCTTCCCAGCAGTTCTGGCAGATTTCCTAACAGGTGTATCACTCGTAGTCTGCGTGCCAATCTCATCCTTAACATCTGAATCCTCTGAATCGGCATCGGATTCATACTCTGGTGTGTGGGGCTCTGGTGTGCGGGGCTCTGCTGTGCGGGGCACAGCGGCCTGCTTTCTGGGTTTATTTACTGTAACTACCTCGCCACTGGCAGCACCTGCCCCGCCTTTAAAATCAACATCTTCCGCAGCCTAGCAAAACGAAGAATCATACGCAAAACCCAATTGCATCAGAGAGGAGCAGAAAACATAGACGGACGGGTTGCTATGCATACAGCATACACACATACATTCTGCATCTCTTTCGGAAACTCGAGTTTGAGCTCGTCGGGGTTCTCCTCCTTGGTCCCGACCCACCAGGCTTCGGAAAACACAATCTGCCAAGAGATTGACAATTTCAGGACAGATTTAGTTCCTTCGACGACCGAATTGGAGTACTTCAGCTAAACAATTGGGAATGAGCATAATGTAAGTTGGAGCTTTGGGTGAAAGGCTGACAGACCATGCTCTCGAAGACGTCCTCGCAGGCGACGCCCTTGGCGGATCTGGTCATCTGCAGCGTGAGGTACTTGTTCTTGGGGTACACGTGCGTGCCCAGCAGCTTCATCCTCCCCTGCGACCGACCGACCGGCCGAGACAAAGATCCAAGCTTGCATCACAAAATTCATGGAAAAAGCTACAGAATTCGACGGACGGATGGCATTTGGGGGCCGGGGGCACCTGCGGGAACTCGAGGTAGAGGACGGGGTTCTTGGTGCCGAGGTCGGCGAGCTCCCCGACGCGGCCGCCGGCGGCGGCGGGCGCGAGGAGGCCGGGGAAGGAGAATAGGAAGCGGCCTCTGCGCTGGCCCCGCGGCCGCACGATGTCGCGCCCCTGCAGCCGCGCCACGGCGCCGGACGGCGGCAGCGCCGCCCGCGGCGCCGCCGGCTCGCCGCGCTGCAGCAGGCCCTTGGAGAAGGCCAGCGACCGCAGGCGCCTCCGCTCCTCCGCCTCCGGGCCGGCTGCCGCAGCCGCGGCCGGCTTCTTCGCCACCATCCCCGGCCGCCGCGCTGGCTAGGGTTCAGGCGGGATCTGAGATTTTTTTTTCAGAGAAGCGTAGACGGAGACTGATGAACTTGTGAGCGGCGAGACGAAGGAGACGGCATCCAACTGGGCCGAAAAAAACCAACTGGGCCGCATCATGTCGAGCCCAGTTAGCTGGCCTGCTACAGCGCTACGGACGCTTCAAGCCCAAGTATAGTGTATGCATGAAATCGTATCCCACTCTTTTTTCTTCTTCATGAAATCGTATTCTCCCTATCTAACAAATATACAGACAATCAGATATGCAGAAAAAAAGGTCTGCATCTTTTTAAAACATATTGTAGAAAATATTCATGTGCCGCAAAAGAGTCCACCTATCTCAAAATAAAAAAAAGTTCTTGTACATCAAAAACTTATTTTTTTAAAACATAATTTTTCATGAGAAAAATAGATAATCTTCATATGTGCCAAGGATTTTTTCATGTTTTCAAATATATTTGTGTGTTTCAAATAGTGTTAATGTATGTATCTCATGTAAAAATATTCATGAATTTGCCCCGTACATGTATGCATAATGAGAGTGTTGATCATTTATTCTTGAAATGTTCCATGGAAAAAATGATGTAGAATATTATTCAATATGCTTTTGATATAAAATAAGTGCCTAACAGTACCCAGGATTTGTTTGGTGTTTGGTTGAAACAGTTTGGGAAAATAGAAAAATCTCTAGTGGCTGTAGGGATTTCATCAGTTTTCAGGACTATTTGGGAAATTAGAAGCGATGTTGTTTTTGATAAGTAAAATATATGTAATCCTTGTATATCTGTTAACATGATGATAAAAATGTTACATGATTGGCTCGTGATGCAGATAAACCCAAGAAGTCAAAGAATAATGGCGGAGGGCGTAAGAAGAGTTGAGCAGATTGCGGAGACATCTTCCGAGGTTAGAACAACTTAATGTTGATTTTTCTTTTCTCTTTCTCTTTTCTACAATACAGGCTTTCCATAAGGTGGTCCGCAGCTGGGCCTAAAAGAAATTCATGATTGCATGGTAGGTAGAGCTGTATGATCTGGCGGCATTCACTTTCTGTGCTCCTTTGTCCATTGGAAAATAATGTTGGTAGGTTTTGTCATAAGGTCGCCAGGAGCATAGCTAAATAGTATGGAGAACGTCGTAGTGTAAATCTGTTCTTCCAGGGCCCATCTCATTCTTTTGAAAAGAACTAGTTTGAGAGATCGAGAATATCAAATGGATCATGCTTGCTGCATATTATATTTTTACAACTTCTATGACTGAAGGAAGGAGGACTGACTACTTTAATCATATGGAGAGGGTTCCTGACAGTCTCGAGGCCTTAGCTTGGGTTGCACTCTTTGGAAAAGATTGTGGATAGTGAAATTGCTTCATTGGCTTCGATTTTGAGTCTCGTCAAAGTTATATAAGTTTGTCCCCTGATTTCCTTTTATTTTCCTCTGTAAGGCATGAGTTTCTCAACAACACATGTTGAAGAAAGTTGGCACATGTTAACCATTTGTAGACCATGAAATAGCTTTTACTTTTCTTCAGGGTATATATCCTTGTCCTTGGTATCTGGTTATCTGCTGGTTGGGATTGGGTTTATTTGTATGGCTGCGGGAGAAGCTGGGAAGGTGGGGCTGAGCAGAAGGAGGACATATCTATGGTGGTGATCTGTTGTGGGGTGGGAGAAGGATCTGCGTGGGGAGAGTGGTATCTCGCATCTCTCTCGTAGTTTACGCTCGATTGATCAAGTATTGTCTTGTACAGGTATCATGAAATTAGACAGGTAGAAAATGACTATTTATCTTCCCTTGGCTCAATTAATTTGTAGCATTTTCTCTGTCTTTTATGATTGCCACCGACAACTTCGTTTGCATCAAATTTAGCATCAGTTTTCAAGTATTTTAGTCTCCCATTTTTTGGTGTATTGGTGTGAAACCCTCCCAAAGTTTTCAAGTATTTTAATCTCCCATTTTTTGCAATATAGAAAGTCTCATGTTACATTTCTTCTGCAATCTTATTTATAGCCAGGATTGTAGTACATGTTCGGTTTAGTGCTCCTGGCAGCAATAATTGTTGTTCGTATCTGCAGACCACAGTGCATGCATGGTTGGCGACCACCGCCTGGTGTGCGGTGTCAGGGCCGTCTCCAGGAATTCGAGGCCCCAGTACGAAACACAAAATGGGGGCCCTAAAATTTGGGTGCATAGTTGTTACTTCATGTATGATTCGTATGTTTTATTAACCAAAAATATAATATAGTGGCTTCAAGCACTACATGACTTGTAGTTTTACAAAGACAATAAAACAAAAGAAGACCAATCCTTAAATTCGAAATGATTGTCTATATTGAAAATCTTGGATGCGTGACAACATGAGCAAACAACAAATCCATGGATGAACCTACGTGTATGTACAGAAAAGATGATAACAATAATTATTATACGTATTAAAAAAAGAATGAGAACAGAGGGGAGCCTCCCCTCTGTCTTATTCTTATAAGAATAATAATACTTATTATTATAAGAATTCAATATAGTGTTTACAAGATGAACAGATGTGTAAAAATTATAATTATTCAATATATTGTTTGCCAACATAAATATGTAAAATATAAATATTCAACAGGAAAAGGTAACATAAATTAGATAGGATTTTCCAAAATAAATTTGATAGGGTATTGGCTTAGGTACACCTAATTGATGAAGTAGTGGAATTAGTCAGTGTTATAGACTAGCTCTCCGCCAACGGCTGCTTCTGGTTGGCGCCTCTAGCCGTGAATGAGAAAAGACGTCTACACGCGAAACAACAGCTCTTGTTTTTCAGAAAAAATCCAAAAAAAGAGAGAGAAAGCAAAAACAGATCTCACGGGATTTGTATTTTTTTTTCCTTTTCGATTGAGGGGCTCACCGGGGTGTGCTTCGAGTGATCAAACCAGACAAATTCCAGCGACCAGCCCCAGAAGCCCAAAACTGGAAGCTGCAGCGCGACTAGGCCTACAAGGCCGAAATGAAAAGGCCCAAAATTGAGACTATACAGCAATGTGTGCCCAGAACTGGGCCCCCCTGGAATTTGGGGGCCCTGTGCGGTCGCACAGCCCGCACAGGCCCGTGGACGGCCCTGTGTGGTGTGCCCGCACACGCCATGCCTCTGCCCTGAGCCCGGCTGCGGCTTCCTCGGCCCATAGTTTACGATTTCGAAGTGGCAAAAATTTCACTCACACTGGAAATGTAAGAAATTTCTGAAATTTTGAAATTTCAAAAATTGTTTCGGACAAATCACCGAAATTTTTGTTTGAATTCGAATTTTTAAAAATTTAAATATCTAGACAAAGTAAGGTGTAGTACAATGTTAACTGAAGTGCGTATGTAACCTGATGGTTCGCCCGTTGGTCAACAAACAGTTGGTTGTGGTTCAAATCTTGGCTAGGACGTAATTTTACCAAAAATATATATTCGGTCCAAAATTAATGATAAGTTGGTGCATCATGAATCGAACTCTGGACCTAGTGATCGGAAGAAAACTGCCCTACCACTACTGGAAACCATGTTTATTCAAACTGATCCATGTTCCGTTTTACATGAAAATTGAAACCAACCAAACTTTCTTGAACGAAAGGCAAAAAATTCACCCCCCGCTCAAAATTTCGACGAAATTTCAAACTATGCCTCGGCCACCTTGCCGAGCGCCACCAGTCTCCCTTGACTGACATCGCCTACGAACGGGTCCATGCTGGAGCTGGAGGTCCAGATGCAGCCGGCACAACGGGGGCGGCTGTTCTTGTTGGCGGCGAGCAAGCACGGCATCATGGTGGTACAGGTGTAAGGTGTGGGTGGACGCGGACACCGACCACATAGACGTCCTGATGCTGGACGCCAAAGGTGAGGAGCTGCATCGTCCCCGGCATGGAGGCGGCCATGGACGCGGGCGGCAGGTACCTGCCAGTGTCGGCTGACGTGCCGCCGCAGGAATGAGGGGATCATCCTCCGTCTCCACATCAACAAGTATGTCAAGGCGAGGAGGCCCGTTCCTGGGGTTGATGATTAGCTGGCCAGCTCGGGTTCTTTAGCTAATCTACTACTCCCTCTATGAAGTAATATAAGAGCTCCTATATTAGTTTAGGGAGGGAGTATATAGTATATATCTACCATGGCTGACATTGGTGATTTGGTAATGAACTAGCAGTGATCAAAGGTTGGGCTTTTGATTGATTCTTTCAACTGCAATGGTTGCCCATGTATCGCGTGCCAATGTGGTTGATCCCTAGCTACTTGGCACCTTGTACGGTCTTTATTTTTTTTTAGAAAACTTTCAATCTATTCATCTTCAATAACGATAATACAACGAACACCATAAATACTAAAAATTACATCTAGGTCTGTAGACCACCTAACGACGACTAATAGCACTGACGCGAGCCGAAGGCGCGCCGCCGTCATCGCCCCTTCTTTGCCGGAGTCGAGCCCAACTTGTTATAGTAGACAGTCAGGAAGTCGTCGTGCTAAGGCCCTATAGGACCAACGCACCAGAACAGCAACCGCCGCCGATAAAGAATAATGTAGA